TAACTAACTATAATACTCTTTTAGTTAGCTTAACTTTGGCAGTGTTAAGAATGTTCATTGATGTTCAATAATAATATCGGAACGTCTCGTCGGGTGACAATTTGGTCGTTAAGATCATTGTAAGCCATTATCTAAAACCCTTTGCTACTATCCATTCAAGAGTTGTATTGTTCTTGTTTCGTACTGGTATCGTTGTCAGGGCCTAGACTAACCTAAAACTAACTAAATTATTATTAGTTATTGTATTTTTTATCTTGTTTTTCTCGTGTTTATGGAATTTGTTCGTCGTTTTTAGTTTTTTGTTCAGAGGCCTTAGTACGAGTTTCTTTTACGTTTAAAGTGATCGTAACGAGTACGCGTTCAGTGCTGTGATTGGCCGGTGTCAATGAACCAACCAATCAAAGCACCGAACGCGTTCTTGTTTCGATTACTTTTAACGTAAAACTAACTCATACTAAGCCCTAGGTCAGCAAAAGTCATGCTTATTTTATTTTTGAAAAACTGTTGACGTGAACACTTTTTTCTGCTTTTCTTTTAGTTACAGTATCTATAGGTAATCTATCTATACCTACTGACCTTTTTGGCAGTTATAGATTTTTATGTTTTTATTTATTTATATATGCTTTATTGTACACATTTATGTAGCTTAAAACAAACAATTCAAGTAAATATGCGTGCAATGGGCGGTCTTATCACACAATGGTGATTTCTTCCAGACAACCTTTGGATGGAAATATTTGTAAGAAACCAGATAAGGGGTTTTATGTTCTACGTTATAAAGAGCGAACATATTACGTCATTATAGCAAAGGCTTTAGGCTAGGATTTACTGCTTTAGTTGTGAACGGATTTCCAAAACTAAATTCGGTCTGGCCAGCCTCATCCAGGCACACGACAGGAGATAGCTATTAAGGGTCGCCGTTATCGAAATCGGTAAGGAGGACAATATATATATATACTGAAGGCTCATATAATCTTAGCAATGTCAATATAAAAAAAATATTTATGACTTTTGCTCAGTTTCTTTCCTCGATTTAAACTACTACATCTAAGGTTTTCTCACCAGACAAATTTTAATCAAGGTTTAACCTTTTTCTTAAATATAAAAAACTTATAAAAAACGTAAAAATGTTTTACTTTATAATAAAACTAAACTACTAACTACATGGTTAATTAAACGTAATTCAATAATTAGCTATGTCTTCTAGTTATTGGAGCGTTTCAATCATTTTATGAATTATTCTCTAATCAATTAAGTAATTAATTATTTATGTAATCAGTGTTTCACAGACATTCTGTTTCCGATGTTTGTTTGTCATTGACATAAATTGGCTGACGTGATTTCCTCGTTAATTGAGCAATTTTAAACATGAATGTTGAGCATGTAAGCCTAGGTTCGATTCGTAATAGGCATTGTTCAATATTACCTATGTCTGGTAATAAGTTTATAGCTTATATATCACATGGGACTTCTAATGTAAAAACTGGCCTCTGATAAGCTACCATATTCAAGAATAATAGATAAAATAATTGTTAACAGTTCAGTTTCTATATAACGTTTAGGTACACTTACTTTTAAAAATATATATCCTTACTAATATTATAAATTGGAAAGTGAGTTTGTTTGTTTGTTCTGCTTTCACGCCGTAACTACCAAACCGATTGCTTTGCATTTTTGCAGACGTAAAGTTAGAGGTCTGGATTAAATAATAGGGTACTTTTTATCCCGGAAAAATTTGATATTCCCGAGGAAAAACAAAAGTATTGGTATAGATGGCGCTGTGCGTATTGGTATATGTCACATATGCTACTTTTTATCCTTTTGTGACGCGAGCGAAGCCGCGGGTAAAAGCTAGTGATATATAAAATAGATATTATGTAATTTATGGCCCATTTTTCAATCAACAGATAATTCGTAACTGTAGAATAAAACTGTCCTTTCACTGTTTTTAATATGGAAATATTTAATATGCAAGTTAAAATCGGGCCCTCAAAATGTAATATATATATACATATTGTGTATATATATATATGACCGTTATATATTGCATAAAACTTTTTTAAATGAAATAAAAATTCAAAAGCTTTTATACATTGTTTTTATTTTGAATATACATATGTACATATATAGGTAGTACATGTAACGCGTAGTCTGCCTAGGTAGGCATTATGAATAAGAATACCTAATAAAGTGTCTAGAGGTCAGGGTAAACGGAAATCAAACAAAAAGACAAAAACAAAAGACTACAGTTTATACATACGTTGTGTATAATATACATATATATTACAAACTGAATACCGATTAGCACAGTTATATGTAAATATTTGTTCATGTATTATAAACAGTTATATTTACAAAATTTATCCCAGACATTCGCTGTCCATCGCATTTGCTTCCCAGAAATTAAATTCTACAATTGGGTACTTTCCTTAATTAAAAATAATTATTTCGACTGTTCAATACAATAAAATATTAGATATTAATCACATTTTCATGAATTGATTTCATGAACAATTTAATTTTAAAATTTTTTCAGCAAATTTTTAAGAAATGTATGATACGATATCATCAGAATACTATAGAAATTCATCACGCTTATATCAAATTCCCCCCAATTCCTCCACTTGATTTCTTGAAACAACGCGTACCAAACAAAAGACACCACTCAACAGCCACAAAAGGCATTTTAAATTAGTTTTTTGCACCATTAAACACTCACGCAACATTCAACTCAATAATCAAGCAACTAAAGTGCATTTTACAACTTCAACAAACACTGGAACAGATACAGCGTTTAATTATTACTAAAATGTAATTAAACAGTGGTTTAATTGGATCTCTCTAGTTGATTAACTGTGCTAATTGTTTCTTGGAGATAAAGCATCGCTGCCGTACTCTGCTTAGAAAAATATGCTGTAATTAATGAGATTACGGTAATTTCAAAGGCTTTTTTTCTCTCTTAAACAGCGTTGTTGACATAGTCCGCCACAGTTCGCTGCTTACATTAAAGAATGTCGATTTTATGTCAATGGAGGAAAACTTATCTTTTTTTGTTATGACGCGTGAACTGAGAAGTCCAGTTACTTGTGAGTAGTCTTATAAAATCAAACGTGATTTTCGTAAGATCTTGATATTTTTGTCAGACACACGACGTTCACAGAAGAACATAGTTCAAAAAGTCGACCTCATCGTTCGCTTGATAAAATTGACGTGTAAATGTGCTGCCTTGTAGCCTATTTGCAGAAATAAATTCACTCACTTGTTTCACTTGTTTCAATAAATAATCGTGTGGTAGAATAAAAGGGATTTAATTACGATTACTTTAAGTCTTAGTAACTAACAAAGGTTCAATATAATTATAATAATATGATGAAAACTTAGCTTACTAACAATAAACACGAATCACAAAATTCAACACCATGTTACATACTCATAAAAAACCAATGTGTTCCAACATATCCACATTTAGATATCTCTATCAAAAAGTAAATAGATAAAAATATTATCAGCAACTCTATAGTTTATGGCTATCAATAAAAATGTTAAGTTAAAATATTCTAAGTTATATATAAACACTTTTTTTATTTAGCTAAACGGTGATAATTTCTGTTCGAGTTGGCAGTAACTTCAGCGTGTTCTGCCAACTGTGGCGGAAATAAAAAGCATTTTAATTTGCTGTTGGTAATAAATTCAAATGAAGATATGTATAGGGAACCTAGAGTTTAACCAGATACTCTAGACTTTTATGAATGTCTGACTATAAACAGATGGTCGTAAAGGATTACTTTTTTGCCATTTTTGCTGGTGACAAATTTGAATGCGTAAAGATGTAAACAGCCTTGATTCAATTTTCATTTTATTAAACTAATTCTGTTACATTAATTAGCTAATGATCTACATAAAAAATATAACGTGGTTTCGTGAGAACATTTTTAAGAACATAGTGTTTTAACAGAAACTTTGAAATCGGGACATATTTCGACGTTCGTTTAAAAAACATCTTAAGCCCGCGTTACATTTTTGCTTACCGCCCATAATTGAGGTACTTTCCTTAATCAAAAATAAATTATTTCGGCTGTTCAATACAATAAAATATTGAAAAATAATCACACTTTCATTAATTAATTTTAAAGACTAACTTAATTTTAGTACTTTTCCAGCAAATTTCGAGAAATAAGTATACTGTTTGACGCTAAAAAACGTGACGTCACAATACACAATCTCGTAAAAAAATCATAGACAACCGTCATATTTGACAGTGCGTAAAAAGTATTGAATTTTACTAGTTGGCAACTACCCAAACTAAACTAAACAAACAAAGAGTGATATCTCTATCGATATTACATTTTATTCACAACAATGGCGAAGTGAAAGCGGATGTTTAATATTGCAATTTAGATAAGCCATAATGATAGATGTTAAATTGCGCTTGAAGTTTGATCGCAAGGGCTTGACTGACCGACACAGCCCGTTGCTTAACAACACACGTCATTATCTTTAATGTAATTATATCTTTGTATAATCTAAGTTAAATAAAACTAAAAGTTTCCCATGATCGTGTTTGTTTAATTATAGATTACCTGTAGTGCTGATATCTCTTTAGACAGCTGAAGTCTGTCATTGATGTATTTGTTTTCATTATCCTGGATTTAGGACGGACAGGAATTGGATTCGAATAAATGAGAATACAATTTTAGAGTTATCATTGGCGCCACTGGCGAAAATGATCTTGTTGAAATCATTCCTGTCGATAATAATAGTTTAGTAACCAATACAATAACTACAATTGATAAAAACCGGATTGGTAGAAAATTAGGTCATTTTTAAATTAGCTTTTTTGTTAAAGGTTTGTCCCTCTATCATCAATAACCATTTTAGTGTATGTTTAGATCTTTACATGTTTGGTACTAAGACTGAGCTGCAACAAATCAATTTAGAAGTCATTAACATTTCTAGAATTCTTGTCAACCCTAAATTCAACACTATTCTCTTTGTTACAGAACTCAATTCTGACTACCTCATCATTTTCTACTTCCCTCACTTCATTATGGGTGTGTCTGAGCCTGGTTCCTCCACCACTCCTGACCTTCCTCCCATGGAACACGAGCGGCCAGGGTCTGGCAGCGGCCTGGATGACGAGGACATTCCTCAGAGGAAACAGAGGAGGTACAGGACTACCTTCACCAGTTACCAGCTTGATGAACTGGAGAAGGCGTTTGGAAGGACACATTATCCTGATGTATTTACGAGGTAAGCTTGTTCTCTCTTTCTCTCTCTCTCTATCTCTCTCTATTTGTCTGTTCTTGTTTTGTATTTTAGTTGTAAATTATTATTTAATTATGATATAAAATATGTTCGTAACGATTATGTACAGAGTTTAGTGTTGTAGACAATTATTATGTTGAATCTAGTCGATTTTAGGGTCCTAGCCAAATAATTTATCACCTGAAATATATTGAAATATTGTTTTTGTTACTTCACACATATGAATGACGAAAAGAATGGTCCTGACATGTGTGTATACATCTTATAACATTTTATATTAGATTGTTGGTAACAAAAAGTTTCATAATAATTCACTATGGTCGTGCAATCAAGTACCTAAAGATACGTGCAGGAGCACGGGCCACTACTTACTACATTGCATTTTACAGTGTCCACTTTCACGTAGTACTAATATTAAAACTGAAGGTGATAAATTAATTTTTGTATGTTTCAAATTAATTATTCCTTTATCATTATCAATATCTTTGTTATAAAGTTTTCATTACCATAATTTGAAGTCAATCATTCTCAATATTATTTTTTGCATAATCAAGACCATCAACTGAAAACAATCGAATGTCTCCATCTCGCAATCGTTACGTGTAACATTATTAAAACAAATTTCCTCTTGTTGCAGAGAAGAACTCGCTTTGAAAATCGGCCTCACCGAAGCTAGAATTCAGGTAAGAACAATATCGATCCATTTTACCGATTTTTTATCGATAACTTTTTGATTTCGGTCCCAGGCTTCTCTATAATGAATTTTGGAATCAGGGTTTATCCATTTATTCATTGGAGCGATATTATTAAGTCAATCAAAACGTCTGTTAAGGTAAAAGTAATAAAATTAAAGTACTGTGAACAGCAGGTCAAGTTACACCAATCAGTCAATTTCTTTCATGTTATTTCTGACTTTGTTAGTAAAAAATAGAGTTGAAAATCGAATGATGAAAGGAGTAGGTTGATGTGCTGTGTCTGCAAGTTTTCTTAGCGGTGCGACAAAAAGTCGCACTTAGGCCCCCTACAGTCGCGCGACAGGACATCGACTTCACAAGTCACGCTCAGCTGGACAGTTTACACATTCCAAACTCTATTATATTACGCATAAAACTTATTTTATAATGCCGCCTTTGATATTTTACCTACACTTGTCCATTTACGCAGTCGGACTCAATTATTGTAAGTATTAATATTTAATTCAACGTTTAAAAAGTTGCCCCAGAATATTTTTTTAATCGACTAAATTATCGTCTGGGGTTTCCCATCGAAAAAATGTGTCTATTATTATACCAAGAACTGAATAAACTAATTAAATAATTGTATGGCTCAAATATATAGTTGATTAAAAAAAAGAAAAAATAAGTTACATTACATTTTAATGGTTCATTGGTTATCGTTTGTCGTAGTAACTGAGACGGTCAAGTACAGGGTCCCAAGTTCAATTCTAGTGTCAAATAACCTACTTATCACACAGTAACAGAATAGGATAGTTGCTGCCAGGGTATGAAAATTAAAAATGTATATATCTATAAATGGGCCTGTCGGGCAATGGGGGTTCGATTCCTGGGTCAGGCAAACAATTACTGGGTTTTTAAAAAATTCTCAGTAGTAGCACGGAGTCTGGAATTGTGCCCGGTATATGGCAGTAGGCATAAAGTGGATGAAGTGAGAAAGTGGGTGTTACACTGTACAGTGGCATTAACTGCTGGTGTAATGTGCTCCTCTGCCTACTCCTTCGAGGATAAAAGGCGTGAGGTTGTTGTGTGAGTGTGTATTATTTTGTTTTCGTTCGTATAAAGTTATAATACACTACTTAGATAAAATGGCGTTAAACACTGATAGTATTTAATTTCGTAAGAAAAGAAAAAATACGTGTCTAATGTTTTAAATTAATTAATACATTAGAGGTATAGTACTAATTAATACATAATACATTATAGTTACCTATATCTTAACTAAAACCAGATTGCTTTTAGTTAAGATATAACTATAATGTAATTTCTTATTTGCACATACCAATTTCATTAAAATAGTTAGTATAATACCTCTATATATAAACCGTATTAATTGAACCGTAATTATAACTACACTAGTTAACATAACATAGAGGTACATATAATTTAACTGAAATTAACATTTTGTTAACTATTGAAATTATATGTAGATACTTCTATATATTTATTCATTGTTATAGTATAGTACAACATAACATAACATAACATCACGCCTTTATATCTCCGAAGAGGTAGGCAGAGGTGCACATTACGGCACTTAATGCCACTGTACAATCCACTTTTCACTATTTATTTTACGAGTCCCATGTAATAGAGCGTGAGCCTATTGCCATATACCGGGCACGTTTTCAGACTCCGTGCTACTACTGAGATTTTTAAAAACCCAGTAATATTTTGCCCGACCCGGGAATCGAACCCGAGACCCCTTGCCCGGCAGTCGCATTTTTGCGACATTAAAAACATTAGACACGTATTTTTTATTTTCTTACGGAAACGAATAGTTTCGAAGATATATTGATTTGAAATGTCGCGTGACGTCACTTCTATGCACATTTTATACGTAGAAATTACGTTTTAGCCCCCACTCCTAAACTTTGATTCGTTTTATCTAAGTATTGTTTTATAATATGACAAAACAAAAAAATACGTGTCTAATATTTTTTAAGTACCTAACTTACGAATTAATTATATTTTTAATTTTCATACCCTTCCATCCCCATTCGGTATTGAACTCGAAACTTCGCACTCGATAGTCGCACATGCAAGCACGCAAACAATAAGTGTTGTCAGCAGATAAAACAAACTCATAACAATTATGAAACGATGTCATAAAGAAGCCAGCAGTTTTCAACATAGGCTGCACAATACGAACAAATAGTCCCACGCGCATTGCAATTGATTCTATCAGAACATTAATCTAATAAATCATGTTAATTTTATGACACAATTGTTTTACATATTTAAAAAATAAGTTCGTTATACCACTAGCAGTGGGTACCTAAACTTATCACACTAATATTAAAAGTTCCTTTGTTTGGATGTTTGTCCGTCAGTCACGTTGAAAGTACTGAACGGATTTTGAAGACATTTGATATCATATATACAGGCGGAGTACCTACGGGCTGACTTAGGTGATAGGATTTTTATCCCAATTAAATGCTCCCATAAAACAGAAATACGTGGGCAAAGCCGCGGGTAAAACCTATTTTATAAATTATCTACTTAAAAATAAAAATTAAAAAAAATATATCATAAATAACAAATTATCAGTTTTCCTCACGTAGGTACTTTTGCGTAAAAGTAGCCCAGCACGTTGACCACATTAATGTGAAATTAACAGGACCATTACATTAAAATACTGGTACAGTAGGTAATAAACATTACTGAATCGAGCGTTTTATTAAAGCAAAAAATACGTTATTTATTTGACAAAGTAATTCAGGATAATAACATTATCATTACTCGTAGTTAAATGGTTTTAAATGCAACTGTTAAACTTTAAAGATTTTTATCCGATAGGATATTTTTATAAAAATCGAAAAGCTAAGTCCGTAGAGTACGTTAAGTATGGTCACGTTGGTCAAGGAGGTGAATTATCAAAATAGGAAAGAGATGTTAAACAACAGTAGTGACGTCATTTCTATTGAAGTGTAGATGTAAGAAAGAGACAGCGCGATACCCCACTACGCTTCCATCTTTTAATTATAAAAATCAAAGCAAAGTCCCGTACAAAAACTAGATAGCAGTGTTACATAGAAACAATACTGTAATTATAAAGGAATTTTATAAATATCTATTGAATGATTTTTTTCTAAAGTTACTTATAAAGTTAATTATACTTATTGTGTGTTAATATTGCAATAAATATGATTTAGATTGTTACAATAACAACATTCTATGGCTTCTTATAGGAAGAAGTAATTCTAATTATCATCATTAGTGCATATTTATCGTAGTTGAAAATTACTAGAATATTTGTTTGTTAAACTGTCAAACACCAAGCGGTCACCGGTGATCGCAACCTATTGTTCTATAATTGTGTCTATAATGACGGTACTCGACGAGTTAAATCGTTCATATTACCCATCGCCGTTAAGAAGCCATGGCAACCACTGAACTAAAGGCCTTTCCTACATAAGGGAGTTATCATGCCATAATCCCCACGATTGGTTGGCAAGTTGGGGAGAGATCGCAGTTTTGTAGTACCCACAGATTTTTTTTGAACCTTGCTCCACACTAGTATTTTCTCCTGTGTCGTGGGTGTCTTTACAATCATATAAGTTCACATAAACATGACATCCAGATCCGGAACAACAATCTGTGGATCACACAAAGAGTTGTTCCGTGCGGGAATCGAACCCGCGACACGTTGCGCGGCAGTCAGTTACCCAGCCACCGCACCAACCGACCGTGCAGTCATTTTTTTATTTTCACTATTCAAATACTGATTCACTTCGTTGCGGGAACCAAGACAGTTACTCATGTCCCTGGGACGCGCCGGACTTCAGTGTTCCGGTGTTTTCGTGGTTGTATCTACTGTAGATCCTGGCTTACAGGAGTTGCAGCGGTTTTGGGGAGTTGCGGCGGGCTTGTCCCATAAAAAAAAATTCAAATACTCTCAATTCAAATACTCAAATAGTATATATAGTCACTATTTAAATACTGAAGAGTTCTGTGACTGATATCCGATCTTTATGTAGTCCTTTACCCTTAGTTGGCTCTTACGAAAGAGCAGCTAATTTCCCATATGGAAAAAGACCATTTAAAAATAAATTTTCAAAAAGGTCATATCATTGTATAGTTAGTTTTTGTCGTACTATCAAAGTGCACTATTAAAAGAGATTAAAGCGATTAATATCTGTCGTTGGTACGTCGAAGTATGGTCACAATAGTGAGACAAGCTTCCTTATAAGACATGTGGGGAAACGCGACTCCGCCCGTCCATACACCGGAGAAACGACACCTTAATGATCGCTTAATCACGACCAAGAAACTGTCCCGATGTTTTCATTAATGTCCGAGTCACTGCAAAATTGGAAATACGACTTTGTTGGAAATTGCCAATTACTTACATTTTTTTTGCCAGTTTGTCTACTTATAAAGGCTTTTTTGTTGTTGCAACATTGTAATTGTGAACATGATATTCTGTTTGATGTAAGATCAATTTATATGTATCGTGTCGATAGAATTTTTCTATTAAAAAGTTGTGTGTATAAGGAGTTATGTGCATTTTTCAATGCAAATACAATGCATTAATATTAAAATTTTTCAATTAGTTGTTTAAGGAAAGGTATTTCTGTCAAGTACGCTAGTTTTTTTTTTCGATTGCACATCCTAACATATGTATCACATGCAAACATGTTTGTATAAAAATTCATTACTAAACAATACGAGTTTGAACTTCGAATAGAATAAAATTTAAATATATTGGCTGGCTGAATAAAAAAAAATCACGTTCCACATTTAAATCCATTCTGCCTCATTCACAGACAGAAGTTACGAAACACGTACGATTACATTAACAAAGTTTTTTTTTTACTTTTTAATTACCAAATTGATATAGTAATTAAAATAAAACAAAAATTCGAAACATTAATCATTTTGAATGAAGTTAATCATGCTTACGAAAAAAAACTGTTCGGTCGTCACGAAGCAGAAAGCAGATCTTTAAATAATTTCTTTGATAGATGCTATAAAAGTTGATTGTGGCGCCGATATCATTAAAATATAAATAGTTTACACTAAAATAATTATCAATAGATTATATTATAAATACTTATACAATAAATAGATAAATAGGGTCCTGTTTTATTGATGGAAAATTATTTGAGAGTTTATAGGTTCAGATGAATAGATATGAGCCGTCAAATTTCCTTTTTAACTCGTTATAAAACATTATAGTATAAAGAATTATACATAGTTACAACAGAATTATTCATTTTTGAATAAGTTGATATAAAAAGTTTTAAAATGGAACAGATTTGTCAATTTTTAAACCTAAAACGTTTGCGGTACTTGACTTAAGCTTTGATGACTTAAATGACGTCTATAACCTATTTTTTCATAATGTAACTATACCATTATGTTGTTAACAAAAATGTTATACTTAAATTACTAATGCGTAAGCTAATATATACATACATGACACCTTTATATTTCAAACAATTAGTTTAAGGTGCACATGTTAAGAAGGTATCACCTATTTTCATCAATTATTTTATGAGCCTCTTGGCATATTCGCGTAATGAGGTGTGGGCCTATCGCACGGCACAGTTCCAGACTGCATGCCATTTCCAAAGAAGATTCAATAAACCGATAATATATTTTTTTTTTCTGAAAACTTTACACTAATAAGTCAATACTCATATTATATACCATACCAAAAATTAATAAAAATAAGGTTCAGTATTTAATAATATAATAGACTTGTGCTCTAACATAACTAGTCAGGTATTAATTAAATTCTTTTTTGCTTCCAATAGTGGCTAGGCACGTAATGACTGGACGTTCCATTTAAGTCCAAATTAGACCTTTGTAAGCAACACGCCTGGACTCTTAATTAACTTTGATTTATGTTGGATTTCTTAAGTTTTTTTTCTTATAATAATATTATCAACTAATTTATAATAATACTGTTAATAGGTAGTAAACTTTCTACTGATTAATAAATGAATTATTATTATGTTGGTAGAGGTTTTTTTTTAAATCAGTGGTGTTTATTTCTGCCTGGTTATTTTAGTGGTTATGTAGATACAATGGTGTGTGACTGTGTGCAGTTTGGGAGTTCCGCTAACGGCTTATAGATACACTAATAACTGGAAAAATATTTAGTTTTTATTCCTTTATAACAATTGGATAAATAAAAGCTACTTAAAATTTTTCATAGTTGTTAGTGTTTTTTTTAAGGTGGGAAAATCATCGAATGACTGCTCCCGCCTGGGTGAGGCGGGAGGGAGTGTCTGACTCTTACTGACTAAAAACCACCCCGTTTCTTCTCCTGCACGTCGAGCCGGAGCCCCGGTTACCCGTTAGGTTCTCCGCGACATAGTTGTTAGTGTAGCATTGATTTTCGCGAAGTAACGCCTGGCTACTCTATGGATTGCATTTTTTTTTCTTTTTAATAATGCTAGGCAATGGTCTGCTTATATTATCTACATCAGCTCCATCAAAGATTCTGCTAAAGTCCTATAGCATGCACAATCCCATTCTATGTATTCCATAATGATAACACCTGATTTATACTGAACCAGCTTTGTCTATTACACTATTTTGCTAATTTCAAAGAAATAATTGGCATAATAGGTACCTAGTATGTATGTACAAAGCTTAGTAATACAAGTAAATTGATTAGGTCCGCATAATGAGCAACCATCGCATATTTAATACGATGATAATTTAGAATTGAGGAAAATAATGTGTTACTAGCTGATTTTGAATGAACACAAGGTTAATTTTGCAATGGCAGGAAATAGAATGTGTAAGCAAATTCGTGTAGGGGTATTGTATGAAGTATTGTGAGTCTTATATCAATTGTGTTACGTGCAAAATACAAGTGAAATATAATTCGTTCTTTTAAAAATTTAAGCACATACTGTAGAATTCCCGTCGCTATTGTTATTGAAATACTGACTTTAACACAATTTCCATAAAGTTCAACATGCATTGTACGTCTTTGTTATGAAAACTGACTTCTAAATTTTACCGGAGCAATGGAAAATGAACCTTATTGACTAGTTTTTTAAAAGTTCAACCGTAGCTTTAGCATAATTGTAATTACATTGAACAAAGTCGGGAATTCATTAAGTGGCTAAGTGTGAAGCCGTTTAATTAGTGTTGCTAGAAAGAAATTGATTATCAACTGCATTTTTTAACACTGGCAAGTTCTTTGTTACAGATGACTTATGTTTGTTTTGACGTGTGGTATATTTTATCTGTTGTATTTTTTGTTTTGGAATTATTAGTTTGGACTTTAGACCCGTTGTTATCATTATTTATGTGTTGCTAACTAGATAGTAATTTAGTTTATCATCTATTTGTAACTTTCTCTTTAATTGGGTTATGAAAATTAGTACCCTTGAGGATTATAAACTAGTTATTTTATTGGTTCCTCTATACTTACCAGAATTATGAGAATCTACTACTGTTAAAGTTCATGGATACAGAAAAGTTGTTCAAGAAACAAGTAGAAAACTGTTTGTTCCAGTGACCGCTTGGGGATATATGGGTTAAGGCTCTGCGATCATAAACATAGTCTAAATACACTATTAGCCATATACACACGAAATATGTCAATGTCTTTACCACACTAAAATCGTCTTTTCTTTGTCAACAGGTATGGTTCCAAAACCGTCGTGCGAAGTGGCGTAAACAAGAGAAGGTGGGGCCCCATGCTCACCCATATAGCGGGTACCTGGGAGGGGCCCAACCGTTGCCAACATCAGCTACTCTACCAGGGCCCCCGCATCCATTGTCACAACTCGGCTTTGGATTAAGAAAACCTTTTGATGCTGCTCTAGCTTCGTTTCGGTAAGTGTTATTATCTATTTTGACCATCTTATCTTATACTATTATTTAAAGCGGAACAGTTTGTTTTTTTGTTTGTTTGAACGCGCTAATCTCCGTAACTACAAGTCTGATTTGAATAATTATTTTTGTGTTGGATAGCGCATTTATCGAGGATGGTTATAGGCTATAAAACATCACGCTACGACCAATAGGAGCTGAGCAGAGCGTGTGAAACCACGCGGAAGTAGCTCCTATGGTTCCTAAGCTTTGTCTTAGTTATTGCCGCCAAAATTGTGTACATACTCAAATGGTGTACTATTTACTTGCTCTCTGTAACTGTATTATTATCAGTCACAGCCAGTAATCCTTTTCCGTTGATGGAACAACCTCATGACCTCTTACTTACTAGCCTTAGTGTTGAGTAGCATATAAATCTAATACCACAATTTCTTCCAACAGGTACGCAAGCACACCACTATTCGGCGCCCAGTATTTACCACCACTATCGCGTCCACCTCTCTTTGGAGCTCCACTCTACGCGACATCACCAGCGCACTTCCATTCTCTATTCGCGAACCTAACCGTTCCCGAACCTCCCCGACTATCACCCGAACACTCCCGACCAGTGCCCGAACTATCCCAACTATCCCCCGATGTTTCCCGACCGTCGTCCAATCATTCCCGACTGTCCCCTGAAGTGACCCGTTCTCCCGCACCATCCATGTCTCCTCCAATATCGCCGGGAAGTGAAAGCTTGCCTATGCACCCGGTAATGGATGACGTGCGCACATCCAGCATCGCTGCTTTAAGACTAGCGGCGCGAGAACATGAGCTAAGATTAGAATTATTAAGACAACGAGCTGATCTTATGTGTTAATTGAGAAATAATTATCTATAGTTGTAATCAAAAGATATTGTATAATAATATAAATAACAATAGAATAGAAAAGTTGAATTAAAATACTGTTTTGGTATCCAGACGTGTATATTGTGCTGTAAATAAGTTTAATTAGGTATGTTATTTTATATTTTACTTTCCTATTATAAATCCGTCCTTATAGGTTTAGTGATTAAGTATTACTTGATAAATAAATAAATAAATACAGTTATTTTTGAATTGAGTTGTTTTCTTTATGGGTCTTTCATTACAAGTAATTTTACCTAGAATATGGTTACGGACCATATACATATATATAACAGAGAAAGTTTTCTAAGAACGAGAATGTTGCAAGCATGCAGTTTTGTTACCTAGTCGAAATACAATAATGAAAGCAAATAGATACATCGATTATTAGCTACATACCTAAACTAATATCCTTGCTTATAAATATGCTAATAGCACCTAGCTTAATTGGCAGACAGACTGACGGACAATTCAATTTAGACGTAGCTTTCAAAAATACCTAATTAAGGATTAATTGCAATTCATTAAATAATTTTTCATAGTTATTTAGTTAATAATATTAATTTTATTTATGTCCTACATAAAAAAATAATTAAGAAACTAAAAAAGGTGTCATTAAAAAAACAGATGGAAATAAAAAATATCGCAGGTCTTACACTGCTCATCATAGCTTATGATACTTAATTGATAAATAAAATGAAAAATTAATTGCAATAAAATCCTTTGACTTTGACTTTGAGTAAAGAGTAACAATCCCATCTACAAAAACAATAGAATATTACAGAGTATAGTTCACTATCAAGAAAGAAAATTCATAATTTGAATAACATTACTCCTTCTTCAGTTTTACACTGTCCATTTCCGAAATCTAAAGCTGTACAAGGCAACACTTTTTTTAAGGGGGAAAATCATCGGATGGCTGCTCCCGCCTGGGTGAGGCGGGAGGGAGTGTCAGACTCTTACTGACTAAAAACCACCCCGTTCCTTCTCCTGCACTTCGAGCCCCGGTTACCCGTTAGGTTCACCGCGACACAGGGCAATGCTAGTTTTTGTGTTAAAAGGTTTTGATGTTTAATCTTCGTTATTCACAAACAACAATTTAATGTTGAGTTAATTACTTCCACAATGACCTAAGTTGACATGAATCGAAATGACAAATCACCAATTCACGCAGACGAATTTATTAAAAAAAAATCCTTATTCAATAGAAATCTATGATTCAGGGGTCATTATCGTACCTGTCTATCCATGTATACCATATAATAGTGTAAATCTATCCATGATAGACAGACAGACTAATGCAATTAATATTATTAACGATTTCATCTGCAAAATATGGTTACGTCCAATTTGTTCGACGGCGAATTATGTGGGGTTGTGGTCGTAGTGTTGGCGAATAGCGATTTAAAAAAAATGGTTGTAAATTAGAGTTGTGGATATTTAAAAAATAAATTTTAAATGAGCTTTTTAAGCAGTAACACCTTAGTCCAAATAGTGGCAGGTCAATTAACTGTTCTATGATAAAAAAGTGTAAAGTTCAAAGACAACAAACTATTTCACAGATTGATTGGTAAACATATTTTCAATGATCTTTTGTTATTACCTACCGTAAGTTTAGGTGAACTAAATGTTTCATTATATATAATCTATACATTCTGCAAAGTTTCTTATATTCGCCAGTAGCAGCGCGACAGTCGCGTCGTATGTCGTGGAATGTTACTCATGAATATGAGGCTCGAGCATGGCTTGAAACTAGTCGAGTTCCCCATCAAACATAATAATGTCTCACGAAAATTATCACTATTTCACTTAGGAAGGCTTCAACGCCCTCGCTTCCACAACCCATTTTGCTATCGCTTCATTAATCGCTTAACGCCACCACTGCCACCACACCACCTCTACAATCCAACGTCGCAATGATTCATCGTCAATCACACACAATCATCACCAATTTGGCATTAGTCACCCAAGGCCGGGTGAAGGGACGCTACGTGCCTAATTATTCCTGACCTCATGGTGCATAGGGACGATACTGCGGTTTGAGGTCTAGAACGTAAATATAGCCACAAATCTGTGTTTCAGTAAACGGTCTGGATTTAAATATTTTGATTTGAATTGTGATTATTTTGTATGTGAGAATGACCTGCTATGATGGTAAAGGGTAGATAATCTACATGGGTAATCTACAAGGGTAATCACATTATTGTTTTATCTTAACTCTTTGAGTACCGTCATTATAGACACAATTAAAGAACAATAGGTTGCGGTCACCGGTGTCCTCGCGGTGTATGACAGTTTAAGAGGTTTGTATTCGACAAAATAATTCAAATGAGGAAGCTCAATAGTACCAAGAAAGAAATGATGAATTATGATGACGCTTGAAAAACCTAAAATTATTTGTCTGACATATTCAGTTCACATTATAGGAATCAGAATACCATTATCATTGGAGGTTTAATAATGGTGATATTGCACTTTTGATCCTTATTTAATAGTTGTTTCTATAATAAAATACGGGTTTATGCTTTTAAGCCTTTGTAAAATGCTATGCGAATCAGAGAATAACGTGCAAATTAACATGATTTAAGTCGATTTAAGTCATTTCAATATAAAATTAGTACCAGTTTTTAATTAACAAAATCGAATGAACGATTCGCTGACTAATCTTGTTATTATTATAATAAAATAGTGATAATGACTAATTGGAGTCTAATCAAATAACTGTATATGAATTATACTCGTTTGACATTTAGCCTGTTAACTGTTACTTCCTAATTGATTGCCACGTGTTGGTGGAGAGACCACAAGCGTCAAACGAAGCCGTAGAATAAAGTTAAGAGCTGTGCTTTAGCACGAATGAGCCGGCTCGACCGTAGTGATACCACGGCCTCACAGAAAACCAACGTGAAACAATACTTACATTGTCTTTCGTCGTGTGAGTGAGCTTATCGGAGGCCCAATTACAGCCCTGTCCAATCTCCCCAGTACCCGAAACCCCAACAATCCTTAAATTCCTAATCCTCAAAAGGCCGGTAACGTACTTGTAACGCCTCTGGTGTTTTAGGTGTCCATGGGTGGCGCCGTTGCTTACCATCAGGTGATTCGTCTGCTCGATTACCGGGTAATGCTTTAAAAAAAAAGAATACTCATCATCAACCTCGTCCCTCGGCCTGAATCGGCTCTCGGTAGGTATAAACACATTATGGCCGCAACTTTTAACAGACAAGAGCCTAAGACAGACTTAAGAAGAATTTGGTCATAATCCTGACATTTGACAGGAGGCTTAGAACGCAGTTATGTCGCAAAAAATTTGAAGGATGCTACTGCCTATTTTTCGGAGTTTGATTTAATTTGATCTGGGTATAACCAGGTCTAGAACCGATAATCGTGTGGTGGTTTTTAATATCTCGCTTTTCAGTAGTAATGCAGAAATTAGGTAATGCAAATACCTATTCCAAGCTAAAAGAACAGTACTTAGGTAACTATTAACAGTGACCACGAGGGCATGCCATTACAATCACTATCCTGCATCAGCTAAGACCATAATTCCATTTACATGGCCACCACTATTCAGATTTTTAATCAATCCTTTACGAAAACACCGAATGGACATCTCATTATCTTTTCAACTAAACTTTTATTGCCATATTTAATATATATCATTTCAAACGTTTGTGGACTACGCAATCCCTTTAGGACTATTTTCTTTACGACAATCAAGAATACATAAAAGGGGTCCTTTTCAAAATTATATTTAATAAACATCAAAATTTTATTAGTATTTATTTGACAAACAATTACACGCATCCTTTGTGATGATAATGGCGGTTATCATAAGGTTTTATGAGCTCCGCTGGCTAGCGGCCGCGGGCAGTGATGGGGCCTATCTATTTATCGACATCGATGTTTAATAAGATACGTCGCAGCACTCGCAGCGGTCGTAGTACTGCTAAAATTACACATTCATAATGATTTTTTTTTATCGTATAGTAAGACTATCGTTTCATCGGTTTGTATGTATTTCGTAAGCTAAATTTTAGATTGCACAAGTTTTACATCAGAACACAAAAAAGACTAGCTCGACAAATTAAAATATCACTCAAAATATTCGAATAGGTAGGTAACAAACGAAAATTGATCTAAAGGTCACACGTAGTTAAACCAATTACCTAAATTAAATTTCAAACTCCTATTATTACCTATATTTGAATTTTCTAATATCGACAGATTAAATAAGTGGCGTGTCAAATCGATTTCCTCGATCATTCGTGTATCCAAATGTTTATCGATACAATTATCGATAATACCGCGCCATTGGGTTCGGTTTTAGTGTTGGATCCTCGGCTGGTGCAAGCGCCTGCGCCATGCTAACTTTTATTCACCGATCTTTAGGTACCAGAGTTTATAGCTTGCCGTAAATTATATGAAGGAATAAAGACGTTTTGTGAACGTGCAACGATACTTGGACGTTTCCATTTAAATTATTTTAAATACACTCACGGTTTAATGCGGCAGTATTTATAATACGCTTTGTGTTGAATCAATTTTGCTTTAATATTTCGCATCGTTGTGTACCTCTCTGACTTATGTGTTTGTTTTCTTTCACTGTCGATATCGTGCTGTCTCGATATATTTTCATTTCGTTGATTTACATCACTGGTTGGAACACTTTTTTGAAATATATTTTTAAAAGGAATTGTAATTACAAAAGACTGATGTCTCTGGTCCAATCAAGAGAGATGATTTTAAATAAATTAATCGAATCAAATTTTTACTTTTAAATCATTATAACATAGATACGTCACCGGTTACGCTTGGAAAAAAGAATTTATCGTTATTAATATGTTTATCGCCTGCTTAACTGCTAATTAGATGAGTTTAATATAAAACGAAATGAATATTTAATTTATTTTATAGCTGTGGCGACGGCTTAGGTGACCAATTAGTTGGCACAAGCTAGCTCTGATGAGTATTTTTAATTTCAGTCTTTAGGTATATATGCCAAGCACATCAACAGATTTTCGACTTCATTACAAAACTAGAAAGTTTACAATCGAGTAAACAATTTTTTTACATCGATATCGTTTAACTACACTTGACGGGGACTGGGAAACAGCGTTCTCTGTTTCCCAGTCCCCGTAA